GTAGCGAGGTTGTATTGTTGAAAGCTACGGCTGGCGCTACCCAGTTTGGGAGCTTGAAGAAGCGCGTAAGGAGGCGACCGATGAGGATGGAGAAGAGCGGATACGATATTGACCATACTGGTTTTCTTTGTAAGTACCGTGCCCCCTGAATATCCAAGAGCGCAATGAACTTACTCAAGATAGGTACATATCGAACTCCGGTATCTTGATGCAAGTTTGATCCGATCTTATATATTAACAATGCAGGTAGAAACATGCGAACGCATAGCTTCGACACCTCTTTTGCCGAGCTCGGCGACAACAGATTACATTGCGCTGCAGCAACGCCAAATCCGATCGTCAAGAGAATTGAAATCGAAGCCTGTATCGCACCCGTGAATGGTGGAAGGAGTTCAGAAACGGAAATACCCATGGTGAGAAGATCAACGTCGAGTATGGTGTGCTAGAAGGGCGGCTGTGTGGTGGATGATGCGAATCGGTACACTAGTGTTCTTGGACGACGATGAATGCTCAACTGGGCCTTAAGTACGGGGCCAGGGAAGCGGATCCTACCATTGCCATCGCTGCTGTCTCACACGCGACACAAGCCGCGTTCTTGGACAATGACGTCGCTACAGCGGGGCGACGTTCAAGACGCCAATCCCACACCGTTGCGCTATCCAACGGCCAAATCTATCTTTTCCATGTCCCACGGCTGGACACATTCCCCCGCATATTGTTTCGGCATCTAATCACGCATTGTCGACTCTGTAGATCTGGTTTGGAACGAGTTTGCGAGATGGCGATGATGAAGTTTGGGGGGATACAGGAGGTGTTCCGAGGAGCTTGAGCCGATACAATCATGCTAGTATGGGCTTAGTCATTGTGCCATCATCAACGACAAACAATGGCATCGTTGCTCAAAACGCAAAGCGTCATGTTAGCATATTTTTTAGTCAAATAAATGAGATATCTTGAGGTTCAAGATGAAGAAACACAGAAGGGAAGAAGACGTGTCACTCCGCGGGTAAGGGAGAAACCGCGCTTTCTACTAACATCACGTTCTCGGACCAAACTGAAGTACTATTCATTACATGATTTTGACGAGAGCTCTACCGAGATTTCTCACTCTTACCTCATATTGCGCACTAACATCGTCCGGATGCCAATGAAATGACGACTACCTCGACACTCACATGACTATGACAGGTTGTGCTTCACGTGATGGCTAATCAACAGCTTAGTAGGTAATATAATATTAATAATGGCTCGGAGACACCAAACCATCGCAGAAGGCGCTACTAATACTCACGGACAGACAAACCCCTTTGTATACTGCCGTACTCCTCCTGTCAGATTAGATGAGATATTGCACAAAAGTGATGGATGTTCATGATTGATTGTTTTGTTCTCTGTTCTAAGGTGCGCGCTGAGAGTTTTGTTCTGCTAAGACGCTAACCCATTATTAGCTAGCGGTGTCGGCACTTTCGGCTCGACACGCCTGCTATCTGACACACCCCCTCAGCTTGGAAGGCATATTGCAAGCTGCATAAACTGGTTGATCGATCCTACATAATGAGGCCTTCCAGTTGCTCTTGCACCTCCTTAAGCTCAATCTCTCTGAGCGGGGCTTCTTCGCGCTCGACGAGTCCCAGTTGATCAAGGAACCTGGCCCATTTATTGGCTGGCAGTGGCTTTGTGAACCCGTCTGCGATCATGTTGTCAGACGGCACATACTCTACCTTGATCACCTTTCGGGTAACCTCTTGTCGTAGCCAGTGATTGTGTATATCAACGTGCCGAAGTTTTGTTTGAAGTTTGGCTACGTCCTCTGTGACTAGTCGGATGGTCTGTTGGTTGTCGCATTTGATTGTGATTGTTGGATCGCTCAGAGTTACCCGAAGCTCCCTCAGCAGTCGCGACGTGAATATGGCCTCCTTGGCCACCTGGGAAAGAGCAAGTAATTCTGCTTCCGTGGTTGAAGTAGTAACGGTATCCTGCTTGCTTGCTCTCCAGGAGATGAGGCCGCCAAACAGCTTAATGGCGTAGCCTTGTGAGCTCTTCCTGTCCAGGGTGTTGTCTGCAAATGATGCGTCACTTGCTACTTGAAGACCTTCACCTGTGCCTAGCTCCAGAGCTAGGTTCATTGTCTTTCTTAGGTAGAGTAGTACGCGGTCCGCTGCCTCTTGATGTTCTATGCTTGGATTGACTAGGAACCGAGCGAGGCGCGATGTTGCGAAGGCGATGTCGGGTCTTGTGGTGACTGCTGCGAACAGCAGAGATCCAATCTTGCGTTGGTACTTGCTGACTTCAGCTGGTGCTGCGAGTCCTTTTCGTGGTCGGAGTTCGATGCCTGACATTGGCGTATCATGCCTTACATTTTGGTGGTTGATGAGTTGACTGATTTTGTCGACGTATGCAGCTTGAGATAGCTGTATGGTCTTCTGCTTGCGATTGCGCATGACCTCTACGCCGAGAAACCACTGTAAGTCGTCTCCTCCCGTACAAGCGTATTTTTCTTGGATCCGGTTTATGGCCTTCATTGCCTCTGATTCTTGCTTTGAATGGTACGCAACGATGATATCGTCCACATAGAAGAAGATGATAACTCCGTCCTTGATCATGCAGCATGGCTCCTGTGGTATTTGTTGAAACCCTATCGAAGCAAGAGTTGCGGTGAATTCTTTCTGCCACAGTGATGGTGAGATCCGGAGCCCGTAGAGTGCCTTTTGCACTTTGAGTAGAGTGCCAGGCTTCTGATATCCTTTTGGCATCCTCATGTATATTTCTCTGTCGATTGCAGCATGCACAAAAGCATTAGTGACGTCGTATTGCTTCAGCTCAAGATCGTATTTGGCGGCGATTGCCATGAGCATTCTGAATGAGCGTCCTGCCAATGTTGCTGCATATGTGTCTTGGGAGGTTATGTTGCGTTGTTGATCTCCCCTTACCACCAATCTTGCCTTGCATTTGATGAGGCGGTGATGCTTGTCGAGTTTGTAGGTGTATACCCACATACAGTCTAGAATCTGGTGCCCTGCTCGTTTGACTGGTGATGCTTGGACCTCAGTCCATGACTTCATTTGTTGGTGACTCTGAAGGTGTGTCTTTTCTGCTTCCTTGAACATTTCGTATAGTGGATGGTCTTCTAGCTTTGAGTATGCTGTTGGGAGTGGCGGTAGCTGGTTGCGATGGGGCTTGATTCCCTTGGATAGCAGTCTCTTCACCTGAGCCTTATCGATTGGCTTTCCTTCGTGTTGACCAATGTGTCCTGATTCGGTGCCGGCCATGAATGCGGCTGCCCATGGACTGGTCATTGATGTTGATTGGTTGGACATGTTCGTCATATCCTCGTTGTTCACCTCTCCTTGAACTAGCAAGGCCACAGGTGGAGGAGTTGGTGGCGGGGTTAGATATGCCTCTACCACCTTCCTTCCTTGGTGGTATCTGGTTTTCTGAGTGCGCGGGCTCTCTTCCTGCGTCGTATCGTCCTCGTAGAACGTCTCGGTTTCTGGTTGTTGGCTCTGAGTACCTGGGAGTTCGACTGTTCTCACCCAAGTTGCGATTTCCTCTAGGGTGTTGTGCATGAGATTGTCCATCAGGTCCTCAGTCTTGCCGTTGAAGATTGTGTCTTCGTCAAACACTACGTCGCGAGTGCTGATTACCTTTGCCATGGATGGGATCCATATGCGGTAAATGTTCGTTGACTGGTATCCCACTAGGTATCCAATCCAGGCCTTCGGATCTAGTCTCTGTAGCCTGGACTTTCCTCTGTGGGTGTCGTCTGTCATTGCGAAAGCCTTACACCCATATGCTTTTAGGTGAGCTTGATTTGGTTTTCGAGGTCCGGTGACTATGCCGTTGATGGCAGCTGCGCGTGTAAAGAATATTTCGTATGGTGTCTTCCAATTGTTTGGGTAATTTGGCGTTCGATTGTATAGGTATACCGCCGCTCTGGTAGTTTCTGGCCAGAGTTCCCATGGAAGGTTTGCATCCAGTCGAATTGCGCGTGCCTTTTCTTTTATAACACCCCCTGAGCGCTCGGCTCCTCCGTTTTGAGCTTGAGTATCTGGAGCGGAGGGCTCGAGTTTGATTGATAGGGACGTGCACCATTTTTCGACCTCTTGTTTGACGGTAACGATCTCGTTGTCAGTCTCGATGACTTTGACTGTGATGTTGAATTGTTTCTTCATGAACTGGACGAAGAGGCCTAGGAGGCGAATGATTGAGCGAGCCGGTCTGTTGTCCTTGAAGTAGAAGTCCCATGTGTATCGGGACCGTCGGCAAGTGACCAGCATTTGGCTCTTCTCCTTGGTGAAACTGCCGTCCTCATACTCATGGAAGTCGATGGCTACCCTTTCACCTGGCCCTTCGTCGTTCAGTCTGGGCGTCCTGCGTATTTGTCGTTTCGATTTTGACCTGCCGCAGGCGTCACACTCCACGGTAGTGATGCCCTTGATCCTCACCCCCTCAGATTGCTGCACGAGGTGCTCGATCGCGGACGGCCCGGGATGTCCGAGTCGTTTGTGCCATAATATGGCAGTAGCCTTTTGTGGTGATCGTTTGGCTCGATTCATACGCACATGAAAGGCTGAAGTTGATGTAGTAGGTGGCTCGATAACCCATTGCCCATAGTGTTCCGATAAGGTGGCAATGGTTGAACCATCCCATCGTCGTAGGCTTGTCGGGTCTTCTCGATTGTCCCACCATATACCTTGTCTTCGGAGCAGCCTGAATGATACGAGGCTGCAGAGGAAGTCTGGGCACCAGGCAACATTGCTCAGGTGTAGAATTTGTTTGCCCTGAGCCCTCTCTGCCGTCACCTTGACTGCTCCGTATCCTTGTATCCAAACCCTTGAGTTGCCAGCCCAAATGTAATCTCCCATCGCAGGCGGGCGTACCTCTTCGAGCCTTGAGAGGTTGTTGCAGATGTGCGTCGTCGAGCCAGAATCCAGGATGAATGCATCCTTTAATGGGTATCCTTGATTGCTCGCATTGAATGCCGCTTTCATCATGCCCTCGTCCAGCCTCGAGATCTCGCGTCCATCTAGTCAATCAGTGACTGAGTCCGGTGTTTGTGATGTCTTAATGTAGGGTGTAATTGATCGTGATGCCGTAGTTAGGCGTGGTCGCTTCGTTTCCAGGTTTGTTTCCTGTATTATTCTTTGTAAGTCTGCATCATGCTGAAGTTTGTACTGTACCAGCTTTGTGATGTGTTTGTTCGGTTTGAACCAATCTGGGGTCTCCAAAGTTGGGTTGACATAGTAGCAGCTACTGATGTCATGGCGTTGTTCACAAGCAGGACATATGTCGCCAGCTTCTGCTGTATTCCTTTTCTGGAACTGCTTGGACTTGTTGCCAGGTGCATTCATTTTGCGTTTGTTTGTTTGCCTTTGGTTTCCCTGGCTAGGGTTGGTAGATGGCGCTCTAATTTGCACACTTGAGGCGTCCCCCTGTGTGTTCGAGTCGGATTCACCGCTCGCCGCGTAGGCTGCTTCACCCGTCATAAAGGCACTTCTTGATTTGCCTCGTGTTGGGTGAGCTAGGCTCATGTGTTCGCGGAAGAGTTTCATCATCTGCCTTCTTTCTATATTGTTCCGGTCGCTTCCCGCTCCAGTGAATGTTGCCATCCATGCTGGGGCAATCTTAGAGACTGCTTTTAGGAAGTCGTCCACAACCAGCTTGCTTTGTATCACGTCCCCTATCTTTAGGGCTTCGGCGCGAGTTGCAGCTTGGTCGTATTCGCTGAGCCATGATTCCCAATTTTGCGGGCTTCTCATAGGTCTCAAGGAATCGTGGTACCTCTCTCGTACCCTTCTGATCTCATCGTCGAGGTCTACTCCAACTGCT